TTGTTCTCCACTTCGTAAGAATGAAAATGAAAATAGTTTCTGAAACTGTGGAAGAGCAAAAGTGCTATTGCAAATTAGATTGATTTTTGTTCTAAAAACAGCTCGCCTTGATTGGGTAGCAGACACTTAAAATAATTGATGATTTGTTTGGTGGTCAGGAAACGTACAACTGTATCCAAAACTGACATTCGCAAAATTTATCTATCACCGCCCGGTAGCAGTGTATACAGTGAGAAACTATTTTCAGAAGCGGGTATAGTTTATTAGGGAAAGCACAATCGGTTGCCATAACAAATGGTGAAAAATAGTTTTCATTTATCACAACTTACCTCTGCTAATTTTGAGTATAAATTGTAATGTTTTGTTGGTAAATATATATAATTGTAAATATAAATATAAAAAAATAATGTGTTTTGTTGGTAAAATATACTCGCAATATTGTGAACTAGTCGGCCGTATACCAAATATTGAAATATTGAAAGAAGTGATTGAATAGGCGAATACCGAATATAAACCGAATATTCGTCGTATCTCTATTAGAGAACCTTTTCATCCACCATTGTGCACGGCAGCGTCAAAAGTAACCGTGCAGGCAACACAGCACAAGTAGTTGAGGCTCGGCCACGTAACTATTCCTTAATTACTTTTCATTATATTAATTGGTATTGTAATATTGCGCTATTATAGCAAACTTGGTAATTTAATATTATGATTTATTAGCGTAGAATGTTTTATTTAATTAATATTAAATAAGAAAAAGTAGTTAAGTCTAGTTTATCTATATTAGATGTAATTTTATGCATAAAAGTACAGATAGCTAAAATTATTGATAATATTGTTTATTTATTTGTTTACTTATAATTAAGTCTTACTATGCGTAATAGATAAGTGATAACGAACATAGTGTAAGGTATGTTGTAGATCCAATTTTCGTAGCTTAAACGGTAAAAACTCGCGTCATAGACGCATACATAAGTATATAAATAAAATGTTATGTTTTCTTGTGTTTTATTAAAAAATAAAAAATGAATAATGTGTTTTAGAATAATAAAGTCATAGGTGAAAGTCCTATGTGTATATATGAATATGAATGTTGATATGACTTTAACCTATGAATTAATTATTCTAAGGGTAAAGTCATATCCATATGCATTAATCATGTATGTGTGTGCGCTGACCCTCCACTGAGTACGGTGTTGTTTGCGTAAGCTAGGCCGCGCTTAAATAATAGTGGAACGAGGAGCAAGGTAGTATATTATATCACTTAGTATAGGGCACTCCCAAATTCGTGCTGTCATTTCAAGACCGAGCGGCGCCGTGTGCGCACATATGTATTAATGTAAGTAGCATCATGTAGTCAAGACCTAGATATAAAAAATATATGTACGTTAAAGATTTTCTATAAAATAAAGAATGATGGCCAGAGGGCGTGAGACAGAGAAGTTTCCAGAAAGTTGTTAGAAGACATAAGTATCGCGCCCATTAGCTGGGAATTCATTCGACTTTTGGGCCTTACCAGAAAAAGGAAGGATAAAGAAAAATAAAATGAACTCTCTGCCCTGCGATCATTCAAGATAGATTCCTGCCTTAAACGCTGTAGACTCCAGAGCCGGCATAAAAAAATTTCAGGTTGAGTTCACTCCCGTCACTCCATACTAGCCCACGTGCGCACTAATAAAAGTATCTTCACGCCTAGTGGCGCTCTGTATTTGGTGACTGTGTTGGTGCTCATATTGTAGGTGCGCGAAGCACGCTGTTCCAGGTGACAGCGGTCTTACAGTGCAGTTTATCGGACGCTTTTTGTGGTGCAAAGAATGTTTTGTGCGTAACTCTCCTTCCTGGCTTCCTGGTTTTCGTTGCTAATGGTAAGTAGAGTGAAACACACCCGCTGCCTCATAGGTGACCATTTATTTTAATTTTTGTGTTGCTTGTTGCAACAGCTAGGTACACACCTACAAACTCCGCGGAGCGACCAGCCCACAGGACAAGCTTCATCGCCACGATTGAGCACATAGAATTAATCTCTTTCCAGTGCGCTTAAACACATTAGTTAAAACCCAAAATGGCAGTACAACCGTTAGATAGATCTAAACCACGCTCTCTGACTGTCGTATTTCTTAACGTAAACGGGCTCAGAGACTAAAAAGACGAGATAGCGCTCTTTCTGCGCAACCACGATGTAGATGTTACGCCAGTGCAAGAGACCTACTTGAAGCCTAGCCATCGCGATCCCAAGATCGCAAATTACACCTTAGTTAGCACTAGAGGTGGCAGCTTTATCTACTACAAACGGTCCTTGCACTATGGACCATTCGACGCTCCCCGTTAACTAACATAGAAATCTCTATATGTAAGGTAGCTCTCTCTGGCTATCCACCACTAACCATCGTTTCGGCGTATCTACCACCGCTAAAGCGTATAATTGAATCTGATCTTTTAGAGTTACTTAACCTTGGCTCCAGTGTTATAATAGCTGGAGACCTCAACAGTTAGCATTCTTCCTGGTACTCGCTTACAATTAATAATAATGTTAATGCATTGTTCGAGCTTATGGACCGACTAAACTTCGATGTTATCGCGCCTGAGACTCCAATTCATGACCCATTCACATCCAGATATCGACCGAACATCCTTGACATAGCGTTACTCAGTGATGTTCGTTTGTCGATAAAATCCATCGAGACAATCCCAGAGCGTAACTCGCATCATAGACCAGCCCTTAACAAACGGAACAGCCCGCAAGTGAGGTCTTTCTGACCAAAACCATCGTGGAATGACGTAAGCTCGAGGTCAAACTCGAGTCTTCGACCTCCCAGCACATAGACACAATTTCTGATAAAATAGACTCGCCAGAGGAAGCCAATAAAGCGATTAATGTCCTATCGGCCTACTTAGCCTCAGCGGTCCCAGAATACTCTCGAAAGATTTGCGTGTCGAGCAATCGACACCTGTAGCTTCCGAGTGATATTCGACACCTGATCAGAGCGAATAACGCGGCCCTTAGACAGTGAGATGACTACCACACAATACATAATAAATTAAGACTGCGCGACTTACAAAATGAGGATAAGTGGGATAATCTGCTGGAATATATTGAGTCATCCGGCCGTTGACCCGAGCTCTAAAAGCAGAATATTCCTCACGCATGCCACCTCACATTAGGCCAGGAAAGCCCGATATCACCTTTGCGACTCTGAAAAAGTTGAATGCCACGCGGATAGTATAGAGAGCCAATGCATGAACCTATAGATCCTACTCATCTTGCAGAGGTCGAAGCCTTGGTCGAGCGTAAGTCTGCGCTATCATCTACAGGGCCCCCCTCTTAGATCCTGTGACTGTCGACGAAGTCACAGAGACCATCAAAAACCTTAAAATGAAATCAGCACCTGGCCCTGATGGCATTAGCAACAGGGTGCTAAATCCCTCTCAGCGCCACTTTTCTGCCTCCTAGTAGGCATTTTCAACGTTCTTCTCTCCAGCTGCTCTTTCCCGGACGCATAGAAAGAAGCAGATGTCATGGGAATCTCGAAACAAGGGAAACCGCGCAACTTAGCTTCTAGCTACAGACCCATTAGTCTCCCCAGCACATTGGCGAAAGTTTACCAACGTATAATATTAAAGCGCCTCCGTAAACATGTCCTTACCAACATTCTTCTTACTAACGAACAGTTCGGTTTCAGACCTGAACACTCATGCACTTATCAGATCCATCGCCTTACGGAATACATCCTAGAGGTCTTCTCCCACTCAAGAACTAAGAGTCGAATCCATAACATCAGTGCCCTCTTCTTCGACGTCGCCAAAGCGTTACACAAAGTTTGGTACGACGGCTTGCTTTATAATCTGTTTAAACTTAATGTGCCCGACAGGCTCATTCACATCATCGGAGCTTTCCTTGCCAACCGCCATTGTTAGTGTGAACACCGTTGTCCTTGAAACCAGTGGTTTGGTTTCACTTATAGAACGTAAATTTAATGAAAAATAACAACATTTTTTCTTAGTAAAATCTCAATGTTTCCTTAATTCCTCAATTTTTGCTTGTTTATTAGATTGTAGTAACCTATTGTGTTTTTATTGGAATGTAGTGTAGGTAGCTAGCGCGGTCGGTGATCTTTACAGTGATTACGTCACTCGGGCGCATAGGGTATCAGACTCTCTGCCTGCTCTAACAAGCTTGCCCAACAAGATAACAAGTATTTTTATTCGTTCTGAAAACCCTAGGCAATCTATCTACAACAATCATACTGTCCAGACTTTACCCAACAGGCTTTAATTTTTCTTGAATGTAAGATTTTTTGGTATACAAAATTATAAATTCTGAAAAAAAACCGTGAGAAACGGTCAGGGTTGAAGTTACAGTTATAAAAACTTATTATTTTATTTATGTTTCAAACATAAAGCAACTCGGGCCACCGACAGATCGAAGGGGAGTAGCCATATGCAGGCGTGCTCCTCTGTCAGTTATTATGTTAGACCAACGTAGTCTTTGGTCTAACATAATGCCTACTACAAACACTTGATAGAATCCCATAAATAAATCTTTATTTATTTATCCTATGAATAACAGGGCCTGAAAGTAGTCTTAGTTAACCAACTTCACAAAAAAGTGGCGCGAGTATGATTCTTTGAGATGACGACATATTTATGTCATTTGTTCTAGTGGCTATCGGTCCGTGGGCTGCCAAATACGGTGAAGTTCCTAAAGGAACTGTATCCACTTTATCGTCACTGCTGGTGATAATAGGGTTGTTTCTTTTCTTACCCATAGGCTTATTATACACATTTATCGAGTATACGCAGCCAGCGATCTTGACACTATACCGCGAAGAGAACCGTAGTTTAAGTTTATAGTTTTAGTAAATATTTATTGAGTAAATAAATAAATACATTCACAAAAACACGTTAAACCACATAAATCTTAAATTAAAATTTATTGTAAAATTATACGATCTTTACTACTACAGCATCCATTTTAATAAAAAAATTGTAAGCAAAGTTACCTGTAGGTTATGATAAAACCACAGCGATCCTGTGACAGATATAGAAAACCAGAGAAAGAGGGTGAATACGGACACTTGACTAAGATGCATAGCATTTAGGAGAGTTGACAGCACGACGGCAAGAGCATGGCACAACACTATTGGAAGCGCACATCGGTCTATGATGTCCCACGGCACTTCCTGTGGACAACAGAGTCTTGTTATAAATTATAATTCAAAAGACATTGTGTGTACGTATAATGAACCGCAAACTAAATAGTGAACTCGAATACATTTGACTGATTGAGTACAATCTCACCTGTTGGTAAATTATTAACATTAGCAAGAAGAATATTAGTAATTTAGTTACATTGACATTTTTTTTTTTCAATTATTCTTATACATAGCACCACGTACTGTCCGCCACTATAATCTCTGAGGAGGTAGGCAGAGTCTATGGAGCTACTTCAGCTACTTTTAGCAAAAAAAAAAATAGATTTAGATGCAAAATTGTGAAAGATGTAATCCAGTCCATCGTCTACACAATCCAATATCTCATTAGTTGACTTTACGATATGCTAAGAGGAATAAAATATTATGCATTTTTTATCATCATCATGTTTATTATGCAAATATAATAATGAAATACTAACCTGTCTGCGAATTGTGGTAACTATGACAAACTTAGCCCTATGAGGCAATGGAAAGGAGAGGCCTATTTATTTATTTATTTAACAATTTATGTACATGAAGTAATGTTACAATGAAAAATAAAAAGATATTTTGTACAAAGGCAACTGCTTCTTTCATATTGAAATTTCTTCCAGCAGGCCTATCTTCTGCCATGTATATTTATTAGGCTGTAATAAATGATCGGGCGACCTTATGATCAGAAACGTTTCCTTCTGACTTACTGATCCTATATTGAAACTCATCATCATGATCATCATCATTATTATAGCATATGAAAGTGTACTGCTGAAATGAAATGGGTGAAACTTAATCAAAAATTGCATTACATTCATATATAAATATTAGTCGTAAAACGTGTTGAAAAGACTATGTTGACAGACCGATGTTTTAAAAAAAAATTAGAAGTATAATATATTTAAACAGTTGTTAATACAATTCTATTCATACTATCCATAATGCCAAAACAACGTATTAGCAATGGTATAAAAAACGTAACAAGATGTAAATTTATTGCGTATGTGCCAGCAATAAATTTACATCTGGCCATTGATGACGTAGAAAACGTTAGGTAGCAGTATCACTTATCACTTAAACTGCGATTTTGTATATTAGTATTAAGGATAGTATATTGTAATGTAAACTTAGAACATTGTGAGGTGAAAATAAAACTCAACAGTTAAAATACAGGGTTATTTTCAAAGTCTATCCGAATTTTATATTTAAGATCAAATATATAAATAAAGACAAACCGTTCTTGCAGTTTTTGAAATTACGAGTAAATAAGAATTTTACTTTTATTTGAAATTATTTCAAATTGAATGTGTGCGATTCAATTCACGTTTTTGCCGACCGAGTCTCGAAATATATTTTTTATATTCCGAAGACCAAGCGACCCTTACGAATGTGTGCGTGGGTAGTAAAATAGATAGCGTTAGATATTTATAAATGGAAATTAGTTAAAATCATGCATTGTCATCCACGCATTCTGAATTTAAAAAGATAAAATTTATTAACTATAATTAATTTATCTTAAACATTCGCCGATATTACTCATTCGGTATCTTCTCTGCAAATTTAGGCGTATATTGCAAAATGATCCAATATATATATATATATATATATATATATAAATATATATATATATATATATATATATAAACATGTACATCATCATCATCATTACAGCCCTTCACAAGTCCACTGCTGAACATAGGCCTCCCTCAAGTAATGCCACAAAGCACGGTCCTGAGCCACCTGCATCCATCGACTTCCTGCGTGTCTTACCAGGTCGTCACTCCATCTAGTGGGAGGTCGCCCTACAATACGCTTACCGGTACGAGGCTGTCATTCGAGAACCTTTCTTCCCCATCGGTTATCGGTTCTTCGAACTATATGGCCGGCCCATTGTCACTTCAGCTTACTATGTCGGTCACTCTGGTTTTACTGCGGATGTCCTCATTTCTGAGTTTATCACGCAGAGAAACTCCGAGCATAGCCCTCTCCATAGCTCGCTGAGCGACCTTGAGCGTCCTCATACGGCCAGCAGTGAAGGACCACGACTCAGATCCGTAAGTCATCACTGGCAACACGCACTGGTTGTACACTGTAGTTTTCAGAGATTGAGGTATACCTGACGAGAAGATGTGTAGTAATTTCCCAAACGCTGCCCAGCCGAGTTGAACCGATTGACCTCTCGGTCGAAGTTGGACTTACCTAGTCGGACTATTTGTCCCAGGTAAACGTACTCGTCAACAACTTCGAGCATAGTGCTCCCAACAACTACCGGCATAGGTGTGACATGGACATTAAACATGATCTTTGTTTTGTCCATGTTCATCTTAAGACCTATCCGGTGGGAGACACCATTGAGGTCATTGAGCATAGTGCTAAGGTCCTCCAGGGATTCTGCCACAAGGACTATATCATCGGCAAATCGAAGGTGAGTGATGTACTCGCCATTGATGTTAATACCGTATCCTTTTCAGTCCAATAGCTTGAAAACGTCTTCCAACGCAGCGGTGAAGAGTTTCGGGGATATAACGTCACCCTGTCTTACACCTCTCTGAGGTTGGATAGGATTCGAACTCTGGTTCTGTACTCGGATAGCCATCGTAGCCCGACTGTACAAACACTTCAGCACTTCGATATACCGACAGTCAACTTGACACCGCTGAAGGGACTGTGGCACGGCCCACATTTCGACGGAATCAAGGACTTTCTCGTAGTCCACATACGCCAGGCAAAGTGGCAGATTGTACTCTTCGGTCTTCTGTACAATCTGCCGCAGGGTATGTATGTGGTCTATGGTACTGAAGCCTTTTCGGAAAGCGGCTTGTTCGGGAGGCTGGAAGTCGTCGAGTCTGCGTGCGAGACGATTCGTAATGACTCTCGAAAACAGCACGTAGACGCGGCTCAGAAGGCAAATCGGTCTGTAGTTCTTCAAGAGAGCGTTGTCGCCTTTCTTAAAGAACAAGACCACCTCACTTCTGCTCCACGCCTCCGGAGTAGTGCCACCATGGAGGACGAAATTGAAGAGCTTCTGAAGGACTTCAAGTACCGGTGTTCCACCCGCTTTCAGAAGCTCCGCTGTAATTCCCTCCTCGCCTGGGGCCCTGCCGTTTTTAAGGTGCTGGAGAGCCATTCTAATCTCGCTCAGAGTGACGTCCGGGATATCAGCGGAATAGTGTCGGGTAAGACCTTGGATCGTTACTCACACTTGCGTGTGGCTCCAACGATGATGTGTACAGCTGCCCATAGAACCTCTCAATCTCACTCAAAAATCTCAGGTGTCTCGGAAACAATGCTGCCACTCAGTCTTCAGCTTAGACAGTTGGCTCTTTCTGGCAGACAGATCTCTGGCAAAGACTTTGGAGCCCTGGTTCCGCTCGATCGCTTCTTTAATACGAGCAGTATTAAAGTTGTGTAAGTCTCGCCGCATGCATTTGGAGATCTGTCTGTTCAGTTGCCTGTATGCTGTCAAATCTGTTGACGATTGCAGCCTCATCTCCCGTCTAACATCCATGAGATTAAGAGTGTGATCGGAGAGTTTTTGTGTTCTTCTGCGGCGGGTCTTGCAGAACTTAGTTCCAACCGCATGGACAGTTTCCACGAGCTTGTCATTCATATCGTCCACTGCATTGCAATCTTCTAGGCACTAAAAGCGGTTACGTAACTCGAGCTGAAAAGTCTCTGGAATTCTGGATCAGAGCACGAGGGGGGACGTAGCGTTGACTTCATTAGACGAGACCTCTCCAACTTAACGTTTAGGTTCAGTGTGCCTCTAACCATTCGGTGATCGCTGCCGGTTTTCACCCTTGCGATCACTGAGACATCACTGAACAGTTGGCGTCTGGTCGTCATAATGAAGTCAATCTCATTTTTTGTCGAACCGCCGGAGCTCGACCAGGTCCACTTCCCGTGGGCCGCTTCTAGAAGAAAGAGTTCATCATAAAGAGTCCCTCTTTCTCCATAAAGTCAGCCAGCTGCTGGCCCCTACGGTTCGGTTGCCCTACTCCAAAATTCCCTAACTTCAGCTCACCGTCTTCTCTTGTGCCTAGTTTTGCGTTGAAGTCTCCCATCAACACCGTGTAGTGGGTTTTGGAGGAATGCATGGCTCTAGAAATATCCTCATACATTTCCTCCACCTTCTCATCGGGATGTGCCGAGGTTTGTGCGTAGACCTGTATGACCTTCAGCGAATACCGTTTGGTGATTCTGAGTATCAGGTACGTGACCCTCGTCGACACACTCCCATCAGTTGTTGACGAGAGACTTGTGGACGATAAATCCGACACCTCCTTGGGACAGATGGTCGCCCTCCCGGTGATAGAACAAGTTTCCGGACTCGAGGATTACCGTGTCCTCCCCCTCTCTTCGGACCTCAGATAATTCAATAATATCCCAGCGCAACTTATCTACCTCTTCTTCCGGCTCCAGTATCTTCTCGTCAGTTCTCAGGGTGCGTGCGTTATACGTTGCCAGGTCGAGTCGTCGTAGGTGGCAACCGAACCTCCACCGGAGATTCTTAGCACCCCCTGCCCCGCCGTTACCATGGTCGCCACCGTAGCCAGAAATAGCGGGGCCACCGGGGACTGGGGGCCATTTATTTGCGTCTTTGCTCATGGGGGGATATTTGCCAGAGTTGCCACGATTGGCGAGCGGGTTGGCAACCGCAGTTTTTTATTATGTTATTGTTGTTATTAGGAAGATGCTGTTGGCCATCTCCTTTTTGTGTCCCTCTGCCGCCTCTTACGACACCCACGGGAAGATATGGGGTAGTGGATATTCTCAACCGCCACTATACGGCTATACATAAACGGCTATATAATATATATATATATACATTAAAAAAAAAAAAAAAAAAAAATATATATATATATATATATATAAATTATAAACACCACTAGGCGGCGAAGTAAATACGACTGCAAATTTCAAAAATATAGAATAAATTGCCATAGAGGGGATTTAGAAAGTTGTAACAGGATTAATATTTTATTTATTCATCTATTTGTATTTTATTTCTTTTAAAAAAATAATAAATACAAACTATAATTTAGCCGGCATCAGAAACCCTTCCTTATTTTTTCCCTTTTACTTATGTTTTTCCTAGAAAATATTCTAGGTAAAACCTAAGTAAAAGGGAGCGAAGTTCAGCACAAACAACGTTGGGGTCAGTTAATTAAAACTATTAGAATTAAATGATTCAACACTTGTGTTTTGTATAATCTGTAATGACAACAAATGTTGACAAAGCTGTTGGTGCGGCTAGTTTCAAGTGCAAGCACTATATTTGAAACTAACAACATCAATTTTCCAACACTTGTCAACACTAAGCATTAATAGTCTGTACTTTTCACATTGTTCCCTTTGTAAATGCCTAATAATTTACCTCTATGCCAATTTCATTCATGTTTCTAAGTCAGCTAAAAATGACTGAGGATTTTGATAAGTGAGTTCAATCAGTCAATCAGGAATGGAACAGAAAATTCGTTATGAAATATACTTACTTCTGTTTGAGAATGAGTTTAAGATGCTTTATGGTAATAATTTTACATAATATTTACCTGTGATTGCGTTTGTGGATTTTTGATGAGAGAACCGCGACGTGCTGACGGCCGTCGATGCATAGATGGCGCTGTGATAGAAGCGCGGCGAGTCACATCGCCTGCTGCCATTTTTATTCAGGCGCTGATTTGTCTAAGCAAAAAATTAATTTAGGTAATTTTACTAGCATAAAACAAACTGTAGTCAAATGTTTCTTATGGGAATATTTTTTGCGGATACAGACATGGAAATGATAGATTTACAACAATAATAAGGAACATAGGAGTGAAATATCCAGATGGATTTATGACATATGAACAGAGTAGACGTATGGACATTTCAGTGAAGATGTATAAGACGAAGACTTGTAAATTTGCATTGTAATATTTAAACTGAAATTAGTTCTTTTTTACCGTAAAGAAGCAAAATAAAGTAACTATTTGAAGATCAATCCGTTTCCACCTTTGAGTTTTAATACTCAAAGGTTTCCACTAATTTAAAATACCCACATATGTAGATATGATGTAATTATTGTGATATAACTGTAAGTATGTACAAAAGCAACACTACACAATCATTCCAACAATGTTATATTATTCTTTCATCCTATTTCGTTTTCGAGTATTGTATTCAGTCTTTAGAGAAAACACTAATATTAAAATCGTAGGCATATAATATATGCCTAAATATTATTTCGACGTATAAAATACGCCTACGATTTTAATTTGATTTTGTAAGGTAAACGCCAGACAAAAAAAAGTTTATAAAAGTTTGTGTATCCTTATAACTGAGATAACGAGCACGTGGGCGCAATAGTATATATAACACACAAAAAATAATAACTTAATGTAATCTATACCTTCATATAATTTTGAGGAAGTTCATATCTGTATTTGCTAGAAAAAAAAGAACTATGGTTGCGCCGAAGCACACCCTCGCATTTGTTTTCTTAGGAAAGTTACTCTCTGCACATCCTAACTGATTGCGGACCCTTAATTCGCAAACGTAACACTCATCTCGGAAACTATGTACTCCGCCCAGAAGCAGGGAAATTGGTCACGGCTAAGCAACTCCTTCCAACCCCCCCGTTTAATTTTGTCGTGCACTAGTGCAATAAAATTCGTCGTGGCGACAAACAGTCAACCCCAAGGACCTATGGACCCACCAACTGTTTGTCTACGCGTGAATTTTAATGGAAAATCGTCTACAGGCAGTTATTGAACCCGGACATGTAGGTTACTTTTTATCTGAAAAGATACTGATGATTCCATTGTAAGTGTGATCCAGTTATTAATGAGATACTATAAGAGAGAACTCTTATAAAAATTACTAGTTTGACATGGTGTTTTGACGAGAAACTACTTTGTACGATTTTCGATGCAACTATAGTTTAAGGATAGTCTAACGGTTGGGAAAATAATGTACTTGTGCAGAGCAACGGTGGGGATCTTGCACGACAGAGGGCTGCAGGACCTTGTTCCAGCACGCTCCACTAAAGCTCGGTCAAATCAAAAAAACCTGGAATATAATAAAGGACATATGTAATATGAAAACGAAAAACGATGTGCCTCCAGAGTTGCTTAAGATTGGGAGCACTACAAAGGAATCGTTAAACAAGATCAACACATACTTCACAACCATTGGTAAAAGTCTCGCGGACGTCATCCTACAGAAACTAAATAAAACGGAGCTCGAATTAGCAAGGCAAGCGTTTGTACAATCAAACTCTAAGCTTCAATCTATGTCTTTCGCACCCACAGACCCATATGAAATTAATAAAATAATAAATAATCTAAAATCTGACAGTGCACCAGGTCATGATGGCATTTCCACTAGGTTTGTCAAATTGGCAAAAAAAGTACCTTGTATATCCAATTGTACATCTTTGTAATCTTAGCTTAGAACAGGGAATATTTCCCGATTTATTTAAAACGGCTATCGTGTCTCCAATTTTTAAAACGGGGGACAAACAAGATGTCGCGAACTATAGACCGATTTCTATACTGTCTACCAAGTCAAATATTGTGGAAGGGTTGATCAACCGTAGGTTGATTATTTATTTAGAGAAAAACAAACTATTAACTGATTATCAGTATGGGTTTCGCAAAGGAAGGTCAACGGATGACGCCTTATTGAAGTTGACATCTTTAATTAACTATTATGTTGATAGAGGAGAGAAGGTCATTGGTGTTTTTCTTGACCTAAAGAAAGCTTTTGACACAGTATCAATTCCGATACTATTGTCTAAACTAGAGGGCTTGGGCATCCGCGGTCATGTATACCAATGGTTCCATAGTTACTTGGCAGGTAGACAGCAATACGTTAGAGTAAATAAAGACCTAAGTGACGCCTCAACCTGTGGATTCGGTATTCCACAGGGCAGTACATTAGGCCCGACTCTCTTCTTGGCGTATATTAATAGTCTTCCAAACGCATTAACATCTAATACGGAAGTGCTAATATTTGCTGATGACACTGTCTTACTATTTAATGGGCAGAGTTGGAAACAAGTACAAACTTTTGCAGAAACCTGTTTTAAGAATGTCTTAGCTTGGTTATAGAATAACTTAGTCACACTAAATATTTCAAAGACCAAATACCTCTGCTTCTCGAGGTCTGCAACTTCAGGTCCAGCTCAAGACTTTACAATCATACTACATTCTTTACCATGTAATGGAAAGCTTACTAGCCAATGCAATTGCAGCACATTAACTAGAGCCAGATGTATTAGATACCTAGGTATTCAAATAGATGATAATTTGAGCTGGAAAGAACAAATCATTAGCATCTGTTCTCGGGTTAGAAGACTTATATATATATTTAGACAACTAAGAACAGTCGCTAGTAAAAAAATTCTTATTCAGACTTATAAAGCGCTCTGCCAAAGTATCATTAATTATTGTGTGACGACGTGGGGTAGCACCAAAAACAACAATGATTCAACTTGAACGCGCGCAAAGAGCAATTTTAAAAGTACTAATACACCTACCGTACCGACATCCTACTAATAAAGTCTACAACGAGACTCAGGTACTCTCAGTTCGCAAGTTGTTTATAATTCAAGCTCTCCTGAGATACCACCGTGTAACTGCCTACTCACTACCACGAACCAGTAAAAGAAGATTTCGGTGCCCTATACCCACTACCAAAACCACCTTTATGCAACGACACTACAATTTCATAGCATCATACATATATAATAAAATTCCCACTGAGAATATTGTTAGCCTTATAACTCTAAGCACCAATAGATTTAAAAAATATGTATTGAAATGGTTGCAAAATCTTGACTATGTGCAAACTGAAAATCTTCTTACAATATCTAAATAAAATACAATCATTAAAACACGCACAGACACAATCCACACACACACACACACACACACACACACACACACACACACACACACACACACACACACACACACAAGCGCGCGCACGCGCGCGCCACACTTCCGCACATACGCACAACAACAATAAACAACACATTAAACAGTATGTAACAGTAACGGCTATAAATTAATATTAAAGAATAATAAATTGTCTTAAGTACTTGCCGAATATAGACCTAGAACTAAGAATTAGGGAAGGCACTGTTTCCTGAGATACAGGTGATAACCTAGTTCAGGAGACAGAGCTCCTTTGTATTTAGACATATTTGGTTGCTAATAAACGTTATTTATTATTATTATTATTATTATCGGTTTCTGAGGTGATTTTATCGGCAATTTATGTATTCGTTAGCGCTATTGGTTCAATAACTTAAGAAAGTGCGTTTTCGAACATCGCAATGCTAGATAAACTCCGTTTAAGCTAAGTTTAATTTAACTGGCCAATCAGTGCCGTTTATCGGTTCTATAATTTTATTTTACGTTTAATTTCAAGCAAACTGCTTCAACTTTTAGGTTATATCGTGTTATTATTAAAATAAATTGCCAGTGAGCGCTAAATACTTAAATATCAGAGGGATACAATAAGAAGTGCAATGAATACGAGTAGCTCTTCTGAGTCTGATTTGGAAGTACTGGAGTTTATTTCGAGAATATCAGTACCCAGAAACTTGCTGTCTCTGAAAGTCTGATGTACAAAATACGGTTGACGCTAGTGTGTTTTATAGTACTTATTTAACTAATTTTAAGTGCATTTCCCGAAAAATATATTATCTATAATGGTAAATTACAGTTATACTTATATAGTTACTAAGTAAAGTTGAATTCAATGACGACCATGCTTATGTTTTTCACTTCATAATTAAATAATTAAATTTAACAATTGAAAACTGAAAAGATCTATAAAAAGTGTCACAAAATATTTGGCAGTGAAACACTTGTAAATGTATATTTTCTTGTAGTAATAAAAAGGATCTTACGTATGATCTACGTCGAATTACAATTTTAAAATTCAACAACTTCTATCGGACGAAAGTACACATAGAAAGGTCAAAACAGGCCCTAATATGCTCAAAATAACTAGCAATCCAATTAAGAAATACTCCGAGAAATTTAACCCAGACGCTAATTCTATAATACCTGCATGCACTAAACCACCGAATTTGAATGGGTTAACAAAAATACACTAAAGGAATGCTCCATTACGTTCAATAGTGAGCCAGATCGATTCGCCAACTTACCGATTGGCTTAACACTTAGCAAAAGTACTATCGCCATTCAAATGACACACAAAAGTACACACTAAGGATTCATACCATTTTGTTAGTAAGATAAAAAACCTATGTCGTAATGACAATGAAGCCATGGTCAGTTTTGACGTTCAATCTCTATTTGCATGCCTACCTGTTGAAGACTGCATCTTTATTGTAACTAGGATACTAGAGGTAAACAATATGCAATATTAGAATATGCAATATTTTTCAGACATTGCCTTACATCTAGATATCTACTGTGCAAAAAGAGTTCTACAGGCAAGTAGATGATGTAGCGATAGGCTCACATAACTCCATTATCGCCGACATATTCATGAAGACATTTAAGGAGAAAGTCCTTCTTACTTCACCTGTAAACCCAAGGTTCTACAAGCAACACGTATATGATATTTTCAGATATTTACCAACAGATACAGTAACTAAATTTTAAGAATATTTTAATTCCATCAACTCAAAAATTAAGTTTAA